AGGGGAGCCCCGTGTGTGTGTTACTTTTGTTTACACCGCTTTTCTAGGGGTTATGATTTAGGATTATGCAGAAATGGCATTTTCTGTACTCCCGGCTCCTTGAGGTGCTCTAAGGATGGAGTGGGACGAAAGAACCTAGTCCTCAGCTGTTCTGAGCTTAGAGTCTGCTGGAGAAATAACTGACACAAGGAGCTTTTAAAAATGCTCTGTTGTGTTACAATGGACAGTGTCACATACCCCGAGAACCTACGACAGGAGACAGGATGCATTCCAGAGATGAGGTTTTGAAGCTGGGGTGACTGGGGGTCAGCTAGGAACCAGGAGGAGCTGCTCCAGGCATGTGCAAAGGCCCTGAGGTGAGGAGGAGGGTGGTGCTTCATTCAGGGCATGAAAAAAGCTAGTCAGGTGCAACTGGTGAGTCCGCGGCCTGGGCTGCTCGGCAAAGGCCTGATGGCTGCAGAAGAGTGTTGTTTTTTTTGTTAAGATTTTATTTGTTATTTGAGAGAGAGAGAAGGGGAGCATTCAAGTGGGGGAGGGGCAGAGGGAGAGGGAGAATCTCAAGCTGACTCCGTGCTGAGTGTGGAGCCCAGCGTAGGGGCTCGATCCCACGACCCTGAGATCGTGACCTGAGCCGAAATCAAGAGTCAGATGCTTAACTGACTGAGCCACCCGGGCTCCCCAGGAGAGGGTTTTAACCCAGACCACGTCTTCCCTTCAGAGCTCAGACTTTTGTGCAGAGGGCCTGACCCCGCCACCAAGGCCACCCTGAGCTGACTGGTGGGAGGCCCGGGGCCCCAGCAACCTCGCATCCCGGTCCCAGCTCTGCCCTTTGTGGGGCTCCACCTCTCCCCCTCCAGCTGCTTCCGCTGTGAAGGGGCTGACTCCCCACAGGGCAGCCAGGTTGGTGGCCATTGGACGGCCCCTGCTCTGCTGTCGGATCGTCTGGACCGAGATGTGGGTCAGGGGAGCCCATTAACGGGGAGCCGTTGCATTGAGAGGTCCCGGGATGGAGCTGAGGCTGAGGCGCTCGAGGCTGGCGATCTGTGTCCCACAGAATGGCCACAGGGCGGGGCCGACCGGCTCTGAGTGGGCCTCAGGATCAGACCCAGGCACCTCGCTGGCACGCTCAGGCCACTGGAGAGGCGGGACGTGGACCGTCAGACCTGGGTTGCCCTCCGCAGAACCGTTGGCGTATCTGAAAGTGTTTCGTGTGGTCTTGTCTGCCTGTGCTTCTCGACAGCCCAGGGAGTAAGGCGCTTGGAGCAAACGGCTGCACGTCGGCAGCCCGCGAGAGCCGGGGGCGGCCTCTGTCCCGAGCCCGGGTCAGCGGTCCCGTGGGGCGCAGACCTCGGTCGTCGCCACCCCTGCCCACCCAGCTCCCTGCACTTTCCCCAGCAAACTGGTAAGAAGGGGACTAGACCGCGTAGCGCCTGCACTTTTAGTCAGGTAGACACGTGGCCTCTGCTGGCCAGTGCCGCCGCGCGCTGGGGCCCCGAAGAGACTTTCTGCAGGGAAGGTCCAGCCGTCCACCCGTCTGCCTCTCACTTGCGCTCCCCACCCATGCAGGGTAAAACCTTCCTCTGAATTTCAGACTGTGATCTGGCTCTCCAGAGCTATGTGCCCATGACCGCTCCTTCATCCTGACATCTCTGCTCCCGGGGCTGAAGCACTCTCTCCTGCTGGCCTTTATATAATGGAGAGATGAAAATCAGTTTATTTTTGTTCTGTGTCCTTCCCACGGGCTTTCCCAGCTGCCTTCTGTGACTCCAGGAGCAGCCAGGTGTTGGGCGTAGATGAGGAGCAGGGGGTGGAGGGCAGAGCCGTCCAGTGGCCCCTGTGGACATGGCTGGGGGCAACCAGCGGGCCTGGGCATGCCAGGACAGAGAGCAGGTGGCATGGCCCCTTGACCTTGGCATCCATCCCCGGCCCCCACCGCCCTTGCCCACCCTCCACGCCTGGGCTCTGGGTGACCATGTCCTCTCTTCGGCTCCTACTTGTCCATTGCCTTCCTCGTCCCTCACCAAGGACTCTTGGAGAGCCTTGCAAAGGGCTGCTGAGGGGAGGAGGGCTGGCCCAGAGAGGAAAGGCAGTGGTGGTGGGGGGCACAGTCCCCCAGCCAGCGCAGGTAGAGAGCAGGGTTGAGGGCAGGGGGCAGGAGAGGGCTGAGGGCGAGGGCGAGTCTGGGCCCCAGAGTGTGGGCCTGGCCCCAGGCCTGAGTTGAGGGGCCCCAGGCACGAGGTCTCCATCCCGTGTCTGTGATACCCGGGATGTGCACACAGCAGGCGAGGTCTGGGGTGGGCGGTCCAGGATCTCTCAGCAGACCCGATGAGGCCACTTGCCTGCTGCGCTGGCCCTGCCCACGCGTGGTCACCACCAGCAGGCCCAGCCTTGGGGGTGGCTGTGGCGGGTGCAGAACTGTGGTCACCGCGGACCCCAGGGGTCTCCAACGCTCGGCCACTGGGACCTGGAGGAGCCTCCTGTGAGCGCCACGTGCAGGGCCCCAAACCCCACCCAGAGGAAGGCATCTCCAAGGCGAAAGGCACATCTTTTATTTATTTAATCCAAACTGTTGTGTGAATTATTCATTCATGTTCACACAGGCCAGTGAACAGCGGCGTAAGGGGTAGGTCAGGGCACCGACTTTGGTCCTGAATCACAGCCAGAACCCACGGTGGCCCCTGAATCGCTGCGTCAGGGCGCCGGCCCCTGAGAGTCGCAGCCTCTCGCCTGACCCGCACCAGGCCTCCGGGTCAGAGGGGTCAGAGCCCTCTTTACACCTCCGATGGGCCGTGTGACCTTGAGGCCGCTCCGCCCCCCACGCCCCCCACTCTTGCCCGTCAGAGGGGGACGTGGGACTCGCCTCGTGGTGTTGAGCGGCAGCGCGGGGTAAGGTGTGCGTGGTGTCTGGCTGGCACTGGGTGCCCCTCGCAGGGGGGTGGCAGGCGGCCTGGCTCATCCACTCCTGACCCAAGCCCCATTTCCTTGTAGGAGTCCAGGAACTGTGGGAAGGGGCTCTTAACTCCTCCAGGGTCAGGCTGCGTTATTACCGAAATTTAATTTTTCCTAGCAGACATCTGAGATCCATTAAAGGCAGGGCAGCCTCTGACAGGGGTGAAATATCACCTCAGAACCTCGGTCTGAATTTTTCCTTGTGGAATGGGTTTTCCTCCCACTAGCAGGTCCGTCCTCGGTGGGCTGGCCGAGAGACGCAGGGAGGAGCGTGGGGTCAGAGCCACCAGGTACCCCTTTGATTTCATAGTCTGATTACTCGATTAATCAAGGGCTCCGTGCCCGCGTCCCGAAGGAGAGGCTCTCCGCTCCAGAATAACAATGTCCACCAGGGCCAGTCGGAGCTGTGTGATGAATGGGGCGCAGGTGAGGGCAGGGCGTGTGGCCAAGTGGATGGACACGCATGGTGGAGAGGTCGGAGGGAGCTGTCCTCTGCTATCAGGAGGCTTCGTTCAGAGGGAGAACGCAGAGCTGCAGGCAGTGCAGACGAGACCCAGGATCTGTGTCCATAAGCCCGGCGCCATCCGGAGTGTGTGGGGGCGGGGGGTTGTCGAGAGCTTGGCCTAGGACAGACGGCCCTCCCTGTGCCAGGTGCCCACGGCCAAGCACTGAATCCCACCGGCCCTTGTTAGTAAAGCCGAGAACAGGCACCCTCCGCGTGGCCTCGCCGGAGCCTGTTGGTAGCTGCTGCGCCCCCACCGTCGGTGCTGTGGCCTGAACCCACACAGCGCTGTGGCCCCGTGCGACCTAGCTTGGTCCTCGTGACGCCCCTGGAGGTGGCTGCGTGCCTGACACACGCCCAGGGGCTGGGGACGCTGGGCTCGAGGCCGCAGGTCAGGACGGGCAGAGTGGCTGGAGGGTCTCCGGTGGGTTTCTTTCCCTGGAAGGCAGGCTCCCCGTCCCCTTCCCCTCCTCCAGGAAGTGACCCTGCCCACATCTGCTCATGTGAAGCTCGCTGACGTGACCTCCTGCTCTCAGCCCCACCAGGGCGCTGGTGGTGGGCGGGCCTGGGCTTCGGCCTGAGGACGAGGGGCTGCGGTCACTGTCACGGTGGGCAGGGCTCCAATCCGGGCTGACTGGCTCCGGGGCCGGGGGCTTTCCCACCACCCCACCGGCCAGCCGGGCTCCCGTCCTGCCCAGGGCACCGCCGTCGTCAGCTCCAGACAGGACCACCGGGGGCTCCTGGCTTCAGAGGCGGCACTTGTGTCTGAGGAAAGCCAGCCTAGCTAATTACTGGGGGGATAACCGAGGTTTAATTACCTTGGGTGAAGCATCCGTGGTAATTGCTGTGTAGCCTGCTGACGGCTTTGCACTTGGCACGGCTGGTTTCTCCCGTACAACCATAAACTGTGCGGGAGTGACGGGCGGGCCTGGGGGCGGATGGGACCCGGGGGCCTGTCTTCACCTGGTGGCCTTGTCTCCGGAACATGATCAGGCATCTCTAGGGCATGTCCTCTCAAAGCCCCCCGTCCGCTCCGCGCTTCTCCATGCTGGCCCATGCGGGTGGGCATCCGGCCCCCCCGCAGGAACCCGGCTGCAGCCGTGCGTGGGGACCCAGGACCGGCGTCCCCAGTCGGTGACTGAAGTCTGCGGCCGGAGGGCCGGTGCACGCACCCACACGTCCCGACCTGGGACGACTCCCGTGTTGCCCCTGTTGTCCCTCAGAAGCGGACCGGGCTGGGCGGGGGTGGAATCCGGGGCTCAGAGCCGGGAAGATGTCTGGCTTCCGGAGTCGCTGCTCTCCGTGGAGTTACTGTTTGTAGTTGAGGAACTTCATCACCACAAGTGCGGCTGCTTATCGGCTTGTTCTCTTCGTTCCGGACTGAGTGCCCACGTCAGGGCTTGCCGACGCAGGTGGCCTGTCCGTGCCGGGCAGGACCCCGTCTCCTCCTCGACTCTCGGCCCGGTGATTCTGACCGGGGCCCCCTGCTGCCCCCCCGAACCCCCCTTCTCCGGCTTGCAGGCTCACCCCCTCTCCTCTCCCCCCTCAGAGCTGAGGAAGCAGGTGGAGAGCGCTGAGCTGAAGAACCAGCGGCTCAAGGAGGTCTTTCAGACCAAGATCCAGGAGTTCCGGAAAGTCTGCTATGCGCTCACGGGCTACCAGATCGACATCACCACGGAGAACCAGTACCGGCTGACGTCCATGTACGCGGAGCACAAAGCCGACTGCCTCATCTTCAAGGTAGGACCTGCCGTGACCCGCCGTGCGCGCTGCTGGGAGCAGCCTCGCCTCCGGCAGGCATGGTCCGTGGGGCTGGGAGGGGGCGAGTCTGCTGACCCTCAGCCACCCGCAGCTCTGCCCTGCGGCCTGGGGCCTCTTGCGGGAAGCCCCAGGCCCCGATCTGGCCGCCTCCGGCTCTCTGCCGTCCCCCTGTTGCTACACTGGTCCCGTTGCTGGGAGGGGCAGGGCCGCGAGGGCCCGGGCATCCTGCACCAGCCGCGCTCAGGGGACGGCTGAAGTAATGGGCTGAGGGTCTGTGCTGGGCCAGGGAGACGGCCTCGGGACTGGGCCGTGGCCAAGGTCAGCGTGCCGCACCGCAGAGGGATGGGAGAGGGACGCTGCTCGACCTCTGTGGGACGCACCCTCCGGCTTGCTGGCGAGGCCAGGGCTGGGACCCCAGGCACACGGGGGGGCAGGTACTGCGCGGCCTGTGTTGGCCCCAGGCTCTCTCTGGAGATGCTGCTGGGACACAGTGCCTGGCGGGGTGGGGGCTCCCACGGAGGAGCTGTCCTCCAGGTTTCGGGGCTGGGGCGCTCACCAGGAATGAAGCACCTGCCTGTGAGGGGCGAGCGGGTCCCAGCAGCTGGGGGCTTACTGCGTCACTGGGGGGGCCTGGGGGCGCTGCCTGCCCGAGCCGGAATCTGGGTGAAAAGGGCTGGCCCCACCCCCGCCCCACTGGCCTGACCTCCTGACCCGCCCCGCCGTGAAGACAGTGCCGTGGGCCCGGCAGGGTGTGGCGGGCGAGGCCACGGGAGGCCAGGGTCGGCAGAGAGGCCGCCACTTCGCATTGCCACGGTGTGGAGTGGGCCACCCACCTGTCACTGCCCAGATCTGCAGAAACAGCCTGCTTTTCCTTTTCTTGTATAAGAAGGGACTAGCCTGTGCGTTACACGCTTCAAGCAGAATTCAATAGCAAATGAGATCCTTTCTGTCTCATTTCGTCGTGCGCTTCCTGGTGAACCCATGACCAGCCAGCCGCTTGCTGGTGAAGGTGCTGGCCGTGCCCAGAGGCGCCAGGCCTCAGGCTCAGGGAGGAGCCACCTCGGAGGCCGGCACCCAACTCCGACCTCCCTCCTGGCCTCCTTCCTTCCTGGCGGCCTCTCCTTCTCCTCCTGAGGTCAGAGCTGCACCTCAGCCTGGTGTCTGCCCCCCAGCATCTCCCAGCGTTTGCTCCCAACTCCCCTGCCTTCTTGGGTCACGTGTATCTGTTTTTGCGTTTCTCGAAACCCCTCATTTGAATAAGTGAAGCACTCGAACACGTAAAGTCTCTACGTAAACTGTAAGGAACATACTTCTTGACTCCTGTTCACGTGATTCCCTGTGCCTTGGAAGAACTCAGCATGGCTGATCGCTGTTCCATACCTTGTAGAAATCCCACGGGTGTTTAAACATTAAGTACATTAACAAAGGTGTACAGTTCTTACAAGCCCCATTCGCTCTGACAGCCACTGCGCAGTGGAGACAGGCCGAGGTCACTGTCAGACCCCCATGCCCTCTGCCGTCCCCCCAGACCCTCTGCCATCCCCCCCACCCCCCGATGCCCTGCTGTCCCTCCCCACCTTCACCTGTCCCCCTGCCCCAGGCCTGGCTGTGCTCAGCAACCCCCTAGCCCGGGCACGTGCACCGTGGCCGCAGCCCTGACCGGGGCCGGTGCAGGAGCTGCTTGCCGGGCGGTGGGCGAGCGCAGAGCCTTTCCGTGGCTTTGCAGAGTCCTGGAAGCATGGGCTCCCAGTCGCTGCACCCAGCCCTCCGGGCCCCTCCTCCTCTGCCCCAGGCCCAGGCGTTAAGCCAGCCCAGAGCACCGGGCTCCAGGGAGAGCTGGCCGGAAGCAGGAGCCGTTTCTCTCATTTGTCCGTGGAAATCTCGGGGGTGGTAACATGTAATGGGCCGGCGAGTTCTGTGTCCTTGTCCCGCCTCACTGGCCTCTCCACAGAGCAGGGGACCCGGGCACAGGACAGGGCGGTCCCTGACCGCTCGGTGGGGTCATCCCCACCTGGATTCTGCTCTTGGCGTTCGCCAGATGCCCTGGTGGCACTCTGGAAGACAGCCACAGGCCAGGCAGCTGCAGCTCTGCTGGATGGCGTGAGAGACCGCGACCGGACCACTGGGTCAGGGTCTCCTTCGGCAAGCACTGACGCTCTGAGGCCTCCGGGATGGGAGGGAAGAGGGGTTCCGTCCCGGGAACCAGAGCCTGGGAGCGTGCGTGTGCGCACGTGAGGGTGGACATCTGCGTGTGATAGGCCCACCCCTGCCCAGACCCCCAGCAGGGCGTGGGGGTGCAGTCTTCTCGGGCTTCTCAGGGGACCCTGCTGGTCGGGACCCAGCCCAGCGCCTTGTGGATGGCTCTGGACAGGTGGCTGCCTGCCTCCCTGTCCCTTGGTTCCCTGGGAGCCCAGCTTTGCCGAGGACACTGGTGGTTTTCTTGTCGTCTGCAGTCACATCACCCTGTGGTGCCTAGTGCTGTGTGGGCATGAACGGGTGGGGGTGTTGCCTTTCTTATCCTGGTTCTTTAGGAGGGACTGGAAGCTGCATGGGTTAAAACGAGGGACAGGGATCTGGAGCCGGCTGGGGGCCCCAGGCACACCCTTGCTGCCCCCAGCTTGCGTCTCTCCCTTCAGGGTGAGGCTTTAAGTCCCCAGGATTCTGGCGTGGGCTTTGGTCCTGCCACCTGCGCCCCGGGCCCAACATTGGACCCCTTTGTGGGTCTCCCTGAGGGGCCTTCCCCTCCGTTCTGCGGGTGAAGCCCACCACGCCCCGCCCAGCCAGTGCCCCCATCCTCCACGGGACACGAACCTGCCTCCTGGGCTCCCTGACATGGCAGTGGGGACCTGCCAGCCTCAGTCCCCCCCCACACCCCCAGGGCCACCCCAGCTGCTCCCTCCCTGTGCACATCTCGCGGGGCCTTTCTCGGAGCTCAGGGGCCACCCCGCGGGAGGGGTCGGGTGAGGGGTCCGTCCTGTCGTCTGGCTCAGCCTTCCGTCCACAGACACACCCCCCACCTCCTGAGGTGCGGTCAGAGCCCCGTGATGCCGGGCCCCCGGCACCAGCTGCCCCACCCCGGGCAGTGTTGAGCAGGGCCCCGAGGAGGCGCCCGGTGCTTGCGTGCTGCGAGGCCCCGGCTCCCTGTGCGTCTCCAGCGGCAGAAAGTGCTGGGCTGCAGGGAGCAGCTTGCCCCGCAGCATGGCGGTCTCTGCAGACTCTGCAGACGTGTGTGCATGCGGTCCTTGCTCAACCGAAGTCCTCTCAGACGCTGACAACACTGAGCCCCTGAGCTTCTCCTGGGCCCTCGGGGGTCTCAAAGAAGGCATGGCTGGAGCTGCCAAGCCTGTCAGGACGTCTCTAACCCGGGACTGAAGGTGTCACCTTTGCTTACTGTTGGGTGACGGGAGGCGCCGTCCCACCCTGTCCACTGCCCACCTGCCTGCATGGGGCCAGGCACGTGCAGGGTGCTCGTGGAGGACAGACAGATGGGGGAGAAAGAGCAAGAAGCTAAGTAGAAGGCAGACCGACCCTTGGCAGACATTCACTGCCCGGGGACCTGAGAGGAGACACGAGGGGCCCAGGAGCCGTCCCACCCTTGGCTGGGTCACTGCACCCTGTGGGACTCAATTTCCCCACTCACAGTGGCGAGCTTGGTCTGGATGCGCCCTGGGGTCAGAAGCCTTCGTTGGGGCAGCAAGGGAGGCTTCCCTGTGGGCTGGCGGTCCTGAGTGGGGGAGGCCGCGGACAGAGACCGGCCCGAGAGACGGGGTGACCCACCGGCCCCCACGCGGTGTTGGGACCCTGCCGCCTGGGGGCTGACAGCGAACTCGCACGGTGGCGGTGGAATCAGGCTAGAAGGGGATCACAGTGAACCGTAGCCTCCTGCCCCCTTTGGTTGATTTTATTTTCCCAATGATGATTTTCCAGGCAGGAAGGGGGCCCAAGGCAGAGTTAGAAATAGCTGAGCACCGTTCCAGTTGAGCGGGCTCTGCAGATGTGCGCCGGCATCATGGAGGGTTTGGGCTCACCCCACGCGCTCTGCGCGAGGAGAAGACACGGCGCCCAGCGGCCCGGCCGCGGCTGCTGCGTGGGTGGGAGCTGCCTGCCCCGGGGGCCCACCGCTCCGAGGACAGCAGGAACTCTGGCCAGGCCGGGCCCAGGAGGGGCCTGGCTGCCCTCCATCCCCCCACCCCGCCCGGCGAGAACGGGGTCCCCTGCGCTCTCACTAGTGCAGATGCCTGGGAGTTCCCGGGACCACCCACAGCCCTGGTTTCCGCGGCCCGTCGTGCTGTCTGGCCGTGGTTCCCGAGCTCTCCTGCCCCCGTCCTGCAAGAAGGCCCTGATGGTAAGGACGGCGGGTGGGTCCCGTGCCAGTGCCCCTTGGGACAGGCTGTGGACGGGGTTGCAGCAGGATACCGTGGTGTCCTCTTGGCCCGGCCCTGGGACAGCTCGGGGGCAGCGGGCAAGGCGGGTCGCGGCTTCCGGCCTCGGCAGAGCTGCTCGCGTGTGGCGTAGCCACGCCTGTGTCTCCCCGGTGGCCCCTGGGTCTTGGGCTGTCCGGGGCACTGGTGGGGGCTGTGTGTGGACTGTGACGCTGTGTGCGCACCCGTGCGGGCCGGAACCCAGAAGCTCCAGGGCCAGCGAGGCCTGCGGGAGCCTGTCAGGTGCCGACCCTCTGCAGCATGCTGCTCCTTGGGGTGTGGGCAGCACCCCGTAGCCCCCACACTTGCTTGTGTGGATTCAGGTGCCCCCGGAGAAGTCTGGCTCGTGTGGGGATGTCACTCCCCTCTGGGCTCTGCCGCTGGGGACTTGGAGGCACGTTGGTGCCAGCCCGTTCCCCAAGTCTTGCCCCGGAGCTTTCCAAGGGTCGCCTTGCCCCTGCCCTCCGCTAACCAGCGTTCAGGAACGAGACTTCTTCCCCGCTCAGGCGCAGCCTCCCTGAGAAGCAGGACCTGCCTGGGCTCCTCCAGGGCCTGCCT